ATCCTCTCTTTGAGGCTTCTAGCTTAACCTTTGGCCTGTATCTAGTCTCTTTTCTCTTTTTGGGCCTTCGAGACTTTACTAGAGTCTCTAACCTTAATTATACCGGAGCCCCTAAAACTTTTACTTTGCAGTGTAGTCCCTGAAACTGCTTTAACTTCCTTTTTCATCTTTGGGACTTCTGCTCACAGGGGTCTGGTAACCTATTTAATTTAGGCTATTTCTGGAACTTCTAGGCCTAAAAGTCTGGATGTTACAAAAACCGAGTCACAACCATACAAACAGTGGAGCAATATAGTCAATGGCCGGTGATCTCCAAGAATAGAATTATTATGTATGAAATGAATCTCTTTAAAAACAATTAAAAAATAAGAAATCAAACACTTATCAATTCTCTCTATTCTGGGTGTGATTAGAATTTATGACCCATAGAGACAACAACTCTGATCTGTTATAAATCTGACATCTCATGTATTATTCAAACAAACCTGGGACAAAGCGCAGTTTTAGCAGAAAACATTTAACGAAACCATAGTATACTGCAAAACCAAATGTAGCCGGAGATCATCAGAACCGAAGCTCTGTTGGGTACGTAGTAAATTCTCGAAAATTGTAGGCATGCGGCATATATAGTTAAAAAATCCGCTTCAATAAGCTCAGTTCCAGGCATTGCGTGCACGGAGAATTTATGTGCCATCCTATAGCAGTTGGCTATAGTAGTTGAGTTGACTCACAGCATCTGTTGCAGGTTATGCACTAGACTGAGAAAGAAAAAGGGAGGGGCAATGATATGTATATATATAGTCTCGATCTCGATGGAGACGAAAAGAATAAGCAAAAGGAGAATAAACCAAGGGCTATAATTACTTGTAATTTTTTTGTAGATGATTTTAATGAAAGGCTTCCACATGGATGTTGGGCGAAGAATTTGCAGAAAGCGGAGAAACAAACAACAGAAAAAGATATCTATATTTGGCTAAAAGCTATCAGTTTTAGTTGGTATATTTGGTAAAGCAATGAGCCAGTTTTATCATAAAGCTAGAAATATAGCTCTAATATTTATTGATGATGTTAAGAATCGTTTGCTCAAGATAATTTATACCTGTGTTTAATTATATCTGTTTAATCAACGTTCACAACCTCTTTGGACGAGAATCAAGGGAGGCGATGGAATAATACATTTTTCATCAATAAAAGTTCTTGGCATTGGTTGATATGGCTGGAATGAACCAACATTAGATTTTGAAATATCAGTTAATAAATTGTATCCTATGGCAATAAACATAGTACCTTGCATTGAATTTGTTTGTTACTTTTGCATCACTGATTGGTATTGTTAATCTCATATATGATGATAATTATAGTTAATCGCCAGATACAGGGCAAACTGTGAAGTAGCTTGAAGGAACCATTTGCACTACGTACGTTTGGCAAGATAGTATTTTGATCACAAGCCGTATATGATATGCAAATGACAGTAAACATAGCAGGAGGTTCCTGTGGGTGGTAGTGATTCATGGTTCATAAATATTCAAAGAAGTTAAGTGGATTATCTTCTGAACGATTGGAATAGAGAAGCAGAGACGAAATAGATGAATGTGATTAGCCTTTATAAGGCTGCTTCATGCTCTGCTCTGTTCCCTGTGTTGATAAAAAGATTGAAGACGATGATTGAAGCCAACAAGATTCGTCTCATTAGGTGAGCTTAGCTGCATAGACGCTTTATACATAGAAATCGGGGAAGCTAGATAACTAACTTGATGAGGTTAAAGAGATTAGTTAAGTTAGTTATTTGTAACAAATATGTGTTGACCTCCTTAAATTATTCATATTCAATAATATGTATTGGAATTACACTTGAGTGGAAATACCTTACAATCAATAGGGATATTTTGAGAACACATTATAAATTTAGAGGATAAAGTGGATTGAAATCTTATACTTAGGATCCCAAATTACATTTACTTTGCTGATAAAAAATATTGCATTTACTTTTTGCCTGTGGTACTAGTTTGCTGCGTATATCGCTACTACCTTAATGTACATTTTGGACTATAATTCTTCTCAAGGGAATATATATGGAAAGCGTCTATTGATATGAGCTATATAGATTTAACCCTTTTTTCCGCTGAGATAATTTTGATATCATATATTTTGATAACTAGATTGTTTGCAGCTTTTTGTTTTGGGCCTCAAGGAGATTGTTTGTTCCCCCTCCTTGAACTCTTGAAAACAAGCGCAGAACCCCTCTTGAACTCTTGAGAACAAGCGCAGAACTGAGCTTAGTAATTTCATAATGTATAAGTTGAATTTAGTTCCAAGAATGTGAATATAATACTCATTACAAAAAAACACGCCCCTTTACGTTACTATGAGCAGTACAAAAATTGTGTGAGAAAAAATATGAAACCAAAAGGAGCTAACAAGAACAAAATAACACAGAAAGCAATCAAAAGTAGCAATCCAAAACGTAGCAGCAACAGAGAGTAGCACAACTACAATGAAGAAAAGAAAAAGAGACAAAACAAAGTTAATATCAGGTAATAATCAATTGAAAGAGAAATGAAGATTCATTTAAAAAAATTTTAAAAACAGAGATATTATGGGAACTCACGATCATTCCCAAGAAACCATCACCCCTACTCGTGGTCTTCTGCAGAACACTCTGTTTTGGGTCCCAAGAAACATCATCCTTTGAAGGATACCCCATTGGTGGAGGCGCACTCACGGTCGGCGGCGGCGGCGGCGGCGGCGGCGGATATGCTATTACCGGTGAAGGATACGACACTGCAAATTCATCATATATCATATATAATCTCATTAATTAATATTGTTAATTGCATTTACTAACACAATATAATGATATAACAGAGTAGTAGCTTGTTGTGGAAGAGAAAACTTACCGGGAGGATCAAGCTGATTGTAATGATGATTCATGATTACCAAATAATATTGAAGTTGACAATGATCTTATGAACTATATGAAGATACGGGTAGACCCGAAAATGAGATGAGATTGAGATGCTATGTAGGACGCATATATATATATGGTATAGGTGCGCGAATGGTGGGCGGCTAAGAACAGCATGAAAGCGCCTGGGAGTAGGCAGTTTCGGGGAAGGGATCGACCTTTCCATTGCTAAGGTTGCTTAATGCTCTGTGCTTCCCTCTCAAAGCTGACAATATTATCAACTGTGCCCAATGAATGCGATAATGTTTTGATCGATCGAGTCATATTTTTGGCTGTGACTTTGTAGGGATTATTTAAAAAATAATAAAGAAATGAAGAACAAAAAGAAAAAAGATAAACCAAAAAAAAAAAAGCGGTTAATTTTTGCGAGTAAGACCGACCCATATTTTTGCTGAATCTTGGAAGATTTGCATTATCATTTACAGTCTGTTGTATGTTAGGTGCTAAAATTGGATTTGATTGCACTGTACGTGGAGACATGCTTAAACGTATGAATCAACTTCAACATGCTATGGGGATTTAGGCGTTAAAAGTAAATCCGAGAAGCAATGCTCATAAATAAATATTGATGATAGGAACAAAGAGGCAGAGACGAAATAGATATATAATAATGAAGGATTTTGAGAAGGAGATTGCTAAGTTATACGTACACATATAGGTTGGAGGCAGCGGCAGCCACGGTAGCTTAATGGAAGGTTCGAATAACATTATGAAAGAACGTGGTGAAGAAAGATGAATGTGAATAGCCTTTATATAAGGCTGCTTCTTGCTCTGTTTTTCTCTATTTATATACTCAAAGGACACAACAAGAGTAAGCTCATTAATACAAATTTGCCATTGCAAGTTTATGAGCGAATGTACTTTCACGTCAACATTTGCTGTTTCATTTAATAAGTTATTTTATTCGACCATTCAACTTATAGTCAACTACTATGCAACGCTATGCCATAAGTCCAATTATTGAACCAGACAATAGAAAATTATCTATATTTAAGTAACATATGGCCTTATACCTCGGCAGATCCGCTGGCCAAAAGAGGAACCTAAGAAAAGAGAACAACATAATAGACAATTATTGATACGGTCTTAATTTTTTACTAATTTTTCATTGTAACTAATGTGCTTTTACATCTTTTAATTAATTTTTTGTGATTAAAATATCACAGTTTGACAGGCTTATGAAAATATCAGTCTTAATTAACAAGGCATGTCTATGTAATATGCTGGCTGTGTGTGTATGCATGAATGATAAAATAGTTAAAAGAAAGAAGGTGACCTGATAAGTAATAACCGTTTAAATCCAATGTTTGAAGGTGGTGGAAAGGGAGAAAAGAAAAAGTATTGAGTGACCATTTGATGCCTGCCAACTCAGAAGGTCTTATATCTTTCAAAAGGCGGCTTATGACTCTCATAGTGGAGTTGTCACACTCTAGACTCCCAAGTGCAGCAATCAGATAAGATTCAGTTATTCCAAGAAAAAACAGAAGAGTTATTTGAATAATTAAAAGCTTCTTTCAATTTCAGAAGAGCTTCTCTTTCTTCTTTCAAACACCTCCCAGCGCCTCCATTAAAATAGTAATATGAAAATGATTATGGCCATCACCAACCACACCTCTTCTCTCACCGAATACCCCATTTTTCACTATATGCTTCCTCAATGTATGTCTTCAACTGCGTGCTGATCATCGGTAGATATAGAGGAAGTAAGTAAGGAGATTGTTTTGCCCTTTCTTTGCCCGAGAGACTCAAGTTGGGCATAATGTTCCAAAACTCAAATGGTCTTATTTGTGGAGAAATGGAATAGAGGCAAAATAGAAAGCTCCACTTCATATCTGACATGCTCGTTTAGTCTGAAAAATTAGAAAAATAAGATTAAGATATTCCTTCCCTGAACCTCACGATTATATATGACTTGACCTCTCAATTCATAATCTTGACAGTTGCTAACAATGTGCACCACACAAATTGTTATATTCTGATCATTGTTATTCACAATCCATACATGTGCTCTGGCATTTCGATCTGCAACGTATCAAAGGGGATCTTCAGGAGTGTGCATGCCCTGCAATAATTTCAATTGTAAGGATTTATTCAAAAATCAGTATATTGTGCAGGACTAATTGATCAGTTCTTCCCCCAAAAAACAAAAATCGCAATCAAAGTTCCAGAAACTATCAATATTCTTTTAATCTGATGAATTAGAAAGAGGTAAAAATTCCCTCCCCAGAAGGCACGATAGGGCTTATATAAGCTCTCATTTTCTGATGCTGATGACAAGCTTTGTATTCTTATCATGACTCAGTGCATGTGCCCTAACTTCTGCACAATCGGGCTGTGACTGACCAATTCCTATCCCATATCTCACGTATTGGACGGCTAAGTATCTTTACACATTCACACTAATTTCTAATCAAACCTATTAGCAAGAATGACATTTATCATATAAGGAGACAAGTTGTGAGAGGAATTTAATTAACGTAGTTTCCTTGTTGAACGAGTCGTGATTATGACAAATTACTGATGAGCAGGGAGGACGGGAATGGCATATATATATGTATATATATCACACGTGTCATTTCTTCAGTTTTGTTGTGAGCTTCAACGTTGTCAACAACTAATGTTTTGTGCATGCGTGATTGTTTGATATCTCTGTATAAGTTTTGAAATATATTTTCAGATAAATTCCAAACATGCAGTTTCATCTGCAGTTAAGTATTGGTTTGGATTTGATTTATGTAGGTTTTTGTCTCAAGTTTCTATGGATCAACACGATCCGAGAAGTATTCTCTCAAGTGCTGCACTTCATAACTGACGCAGACTTGGAGCCTTTTAGTCATAAAAGATTACAAAAAGATGAAGATTCGTTGTTCCAAAATACACAGTTGCTAACAATTAATTTTCACGGCACAAATAAGCTTTATATTCAAAATCTCAGTGCATGTGCTTTTGACATTTCTGCACAATCAAACAAACTATGCCCCCATCCGTCAAAAGGAAGATGGAAAGCCAGACTCTAAGGTAGACTGAGATTGCTGTGCAGCAAGTAAACTATACGTCTAAACTTTAAAGTTTCCTATACGTTTATCTATGTTTAGCACTAAATTGAGTCTTAGTCAATCAGTTATTGTTAATTATTAGGATAATAACTCATTGAATTAATCTAAACCAGATTGGCGGTTTTGAATTTGATTAGCCAAAGACTACTAGGCACCAAGAATAATACAACAACCAAAAGTTGGGAAAATATATAACCGACATGTGAGGTCGAACGTGTGAACGGCTAGCCAAATAAAAAATTATATCCACTCAATTTTTTTGGTCTTCTTCATTGGTTTTTGACTCTGTTTATTCTTGATTTTACAGTTTAATCATAGACCGTGCAACAAAAGTTGTTGTAAGGTGTCTTTAAACATTTTAGTTGTCATTACATTTTATGCGAGCCTGCACAAGTTTAAAGATGTGAAAGAATTACAGTATTTTTTTGAAGAGTCGTCTCTCTCTTTTTTTTTCCTCCCAAAATGGGAATAACATAAGTAAGGTGAAGAACAGCAAGATATGAGAGCAGCACAGAGTTGATAAAAAATATTGTGGGACTCAACATAGCAATAATAATAAAAAAAAAAAAAAAGCAGCACAGAGCTGCACAATTGCAATTAAAAAAAATCAAAAAAGGGGACAGAACAATGCACATATTAGGAACTGATCTGAAGAGAAATTAAGAAAACAATAAGAGTTCGTAAAAGCAAATTAAAAACAGAGTTTTTGATGATGACTTGTGATCTCATTGGCCCTCCCAGAAGAAGCACCACTGGAGGGATACCCCATTGGTGGTGAATATGAAATCACCGGTAAACATAACATCACTAATTAGTATTGTTAATCTCATGCATCTATAGTTAATGGTCAGACACAGAGCAAACTGTGAAGAAGCTTGAAGGAATCATCACTTAAACTACGTTTAGCAAGAAAGTATTGTGATCACAAACCGTATATGATATACATATAACAGTAAATATAGCAGGAGGTTCTTGTGGATGGTGGTAATTCATGGTTAGAAAGGCAGAGACGAAATAGAGACGATAATGAAGGATTTTGAGAAAGAGATTGCTAAACTATACACACACATCAGAAGTAATGATTCGAATATTTCAATTTAGTTTTCTTTCTGATCATGAGAAGACTTGAAACCAGCCGTCTTTTGGTTATTGTAATTCTAGAGATGATCACCAGCCCATCTATTACATGATCAGAATCTTATGAACTATAATGAAAACCTTTTTCTTTTTCGCCAACACTCATACAAATAACTTGTTATGACTCTCTCTAATAGTAGTTTGTAATTGCAAATGTAAGGGTTCAAATAAAGAACTGTAATGACACCTAGAAAAAAGACTCCAAATGTTCCAGCAAAACTGCATATAAAAGCATCTCGAAAATCATCTGCTTCCAAATGATGAGGTTGCCTGTTTCTCCCTGTTATTGAGCAATTTCGCAGCAAAAGGGGGCCACATAGGAAAGGGTTCCCTTCATAGCTAGCTGAATCAAAAGTTGCAAATTGATTTTTCATGTCAGGTGTTGTTCCAGATAGATTATTCTGAGCCACTGAGAAGGAAGACAAGGAGTACAGCTGAGTTAGTTGTGCAGGAATGTGGCCTGTCAATTTGTTGTGGGAAAGATCAAGGCTTTCTATTTGCTTGAGGTTGGAAAATGTTTTTGGAATAGGCCCTTTCAATCGATTGTTTGACAAATTTAATGCATGGATGGCATCTAAGTATCCAATTTGTGAAGGAATTTCACCTACCAATTGATTACTTGAGAGATCCAACCCAGACATGAAATTTAAAATGCTTCCTGTGTAAGATTCATACCTTCTTTTTGTTATAAAATTTACTACTTGGTCTTTATACAGTGTAACATTTGCTTTTGCTTTTTCTTCTAGCATGGAAACTTCACCGGTCGAAGGGTTAAAATTATAACTTGAAAATCTTGTAGTCCACAATACAGTAAAGTGTCCTATTTCCTTTTCCCTTGGTGCATCTATCTTCCCAAATGTGATGTTATTCAAGCAATATGGGATGCCTCCAGAAAGCTTATTTTGAGAAAGATCTAATAAACTGATATTCTTGAGCTCACATAAATTCATAGGAATAGAGCCTTCAAGTTTGTTTTCTTTTAACATGAGGACCCTTAAACTCAAAAATGAGCCAATCAATCTTGGAATTTGTCCAGAAAAATTGTTATTCATCAAGTCCAAAATCAATAAAGGGGAATTAGCTAAAGTGGAAGGTAGAGGTCCTATGAAATGGCTGCTCTGCAAATGCAAGTACTTCAACAACGGCATATTCAAACAACTTGGTAGAGAGCCATTGAATTTATTATAAGCAAGGTCTAGATATGTAAGTGCCGTCAAGTTGCAAAAATTTTTTGGTAGTGGACCTATTAAATAATTCTTTGACAATATAAGGTAGCTCAAATGTTCAAAATTTCCGATCCAGCTGGGCATTTCACCATATAATTGGTTGGCACTTATATCCAACATTCTTAACTCAGTACTATTCATAACTCCACCTTCAAGCTTTCCTTTGTAGTTATTGTTGCTAAGGTCCAAAAACAACAGATATGTGAAATTTGATCCTATAGGTAAGGACGGGCCACTCAAGTTGTTGTTTGACAACTTCAAAAATCTCAATTCATTGTTACCCTGACTGAATTCTTGGGGCAAGTAGCCAGATAAATTATTATATGACAAGTCAAGATCATTCAATTGTCTCATCTCACCTATTGAAGCGGGAAAGAGACCTTGCAATGAAGTCCAAGACATATCAAGAGAAATCAAGTTGGGAAAAATAAAGCCAATATGAGAAGGTATTTCATCTCCAAGGGGGTTAGAGGAAATATCAAAAGACTCCATGTGAAGCAATTTTGAGGTGGAATTGAGTTCAAAGGGACCAGTGAACAAGTTGTGGGTGAGATTGAAATGATTCAATTTTGTGTTGTTTGTCAAAAGCCAGGAGGGGAATGTGCCTGAAATGTTCAAGACACTAAGTTCTAGAAACTGCAAGTCATATTGATGAAGAAGAAAGGTGGGCATTCTTTTAGTGTTGGCTTCATTTAGAGTGCAGTTGACGATTCCGAAAAGCCTCAATTGGAAGGAAGGGATAAATGGGGGATTCTCTGTTTCAAGTCTCAGGTTGGTGTTGGAGCAACAAATGACAAGGATTTTGAGGTTGGAGTTGTTGGCAAGTGAAGAGAGTGAAATTGAGCCATTGAAATTATCGTCGGAAAGAATAATTGCTGCTAGAGACCTCCAAGTATTAAAGAGTGAGGAAGGAAAGATTCCTTCAAAACGATTTTGATGAAGATAAAGCGAACGTAAAGACGTCAAATTGCCAAGGCACGCAGGAAGCTGCCCCCCAAATTCATTCCACGCAACATTCAAGAATAAAAGATTCTTCAAATTGCACAAGCCTCCTGCAACATTTACCATTTTTCTTCATTAAATTTATTCCGTTAGTATAATGTATTTAAATTAATATTGCGTCCCAGGAAGAAAAACCTAAACTTTGAGCCCAAAAATATAAGTAAAAATAAATGAAATATAGAGAATGCATAAGGAAAAATAAGAATATGAAGTCACTTCCATTTATTAGTTTTAGCATGTCCATGTGCGTAAATACGGCTCGATCTTATTATTATTATTTTAAACTACTGCCGTATGCCAGTTAGGAGATGGACTGGAAATCTGTTTCATTGAACAGTCGACTCAATTTGCACAAACAAGGAAAATTTGATTGTTTAATTAAAAAAAAAATCATCAAATTTGATGTTTATTGGCGAATACTCAATTAATGGGTTATTTTCTTTCCATCGGAGATGCTATAAAATATGATGCGTACCTTGTTGTGGCAACGATCCTGTCAGGTTGTTATGGCCTAACGACAATACGGTGAGGGAAGTGAGAGACGTAATAGATTCTGGAATACTACCCTCCAAGTAATTAGAATCAAGCAACAGATACTTCAGATTACGTGAATGCGAAAGGTCTGTCAAATGCCAAATGGAAATGTGTACATTAAGCCACAGCTCCTTCAAATTAATTATATATATATGTTGTTAAAATTTATTGATAATGAATCTGCCAGGTAAGAAAACATCATCTTATCTCTTACTTTTGACATTTCATTCAATTCTCTCAATTAAATGAAGGCACATAAATTGTTCGGTTGAGATGCTTATATGGCAAAGGTAAATAATTTGACTTCCCAACAAAATCAAGATAAAAAATAGAAACTTTCATATATTTAATGGAGAAAACTTTATCTATATCTTCCTTTTAGCATTTTTCTTAAAATGATGGCCCGGTAATCTTTTTTCTAAAAATAGATATACTTTTGATGCACGTTTCAGTAACAACATATGTCACTCAAAATATACTATAATATAGAAGACAAAGATTTAGCACCGAAATATGGGAATTCTGTGAGCATATTGACTTGTAAGTTCAACGCTTCCAAGTTCACCAGCCTGATATCGCCAAGTAGCCCTGTCCCACAAACAACATGTGATCAGTTACTATGAATGTTAGTGGGTATAAAGAATTATAAAAAATAATTCATATAATTAATATCATCATCCTCTTCATAATTTAACATGAAGTGAAAGTTTGACAATGTAGTGTTTATTAAGCTTGTTTTGGGCCCCTCTATATATATATCCAAGAAAACATCTTTCCTAGCAATTTATTTTTAAAAAAAATATTTAAAAACCGAGTCAAAACGTTTAGTATCTCAAACATTTTCTAAAATATCTTACTTGAATTTTTTTTTTTAAATGAGTAATAAAACTTTTGGTACTCAAATTTAATTTCTCTCTGTTATCAATTTGGTCCGTGAAGTTTAATTTTTATCAATCAAGTTCCTAAAGTTTCATACGCAATTTTACTCCCTCTGATGCTATCTGTAAGAAATAAATAATTAAATTTTGTAGATTATATAGTTTGTTAAAATTGTCTAAAGGCAGTAAATATGTAAAAATGTATTTTTTTTTCCAAAAATAATATCCATCTTTATGGAGAGGAATGGTGAATGAGACAGAAATTGAGAAAGAAAAAGATGAGAATGAGAGAGAATAAATGAAGTGATATAACATTATAATTACTGGGAGAAAATATGAAAAAATTGGTTCAAATTTCATAAATAAAGCAAAGTGAGGGTTATCATCCTTGAATTAATGGCTAGAGATAGCACATGTGCATTTAGGATTGTATATCTTCAAACCATAATGACTAATTTTGTATGATTACGAAACTTTAGGGACTTGATTTATGACAATTAATTAAATTTTATGGACCAAATCAATAAGTGAAGCAAATTTGAGGGACGAAAAGTTTCATTATTCCAATAAGAAATTATCCACAAGTATTTAGCTAGAACTAGAATGGACTCTTACCGCGGCAAAACAGTGGGCTAAAAGAGGAAACCGACAAAAAAGAACGAGATAAGAGGCAATGACATTTTTAACTAATTTTTTACTGTAGCTAATATGCTTTTACTCCTCCGGTCCTTATTATAAGACCCCATTTGACTTTTTATTTGGTCCTAATTATAAGACCCCAATCCATTTTGTCTCTTATATTTATGCATTTTTTTCCAAGATAATCCTTCTAATAATGATAGTTTTAGCCAATATACTTAATTAGCAAGGATATTTTAGGAATGACAACACTTATTTATTATAAATAACCAACTTAACTTACTTTCTTAATCTCCTCAAATAAGTCAATTGGGTCTTATAATTAGGACCGGAGGAGTACATCTTTAAAAATCACAGCTCGAAATGCTTATAAATATGTCGGTCTTAATTAACAATGTATGTCTATGTACTGTGTGTGTGCATAGAGATATGTATATATGCATGAATGATAGAATAGTTAAAAGAAAGAGAGTGACCTGACAAGTAATTCCCAGCCAAATACAACTCTTGAAGCTGGATGAAGGGGAGAAAAGAAGAAGCATTGAGTGACCAGCTGATGTTTCTCAACTTATAAGGTCTTGTATTGTTCAGAAAAAGGCTTATGACTCTATGAGTGGAGTTGTCACTGTACAGACTCCCAAGTGCAGCAATCAGAGAAGGTTTGGTTATTCCAAGAACGAAGAGAATAGCCATTTCGGTAATTGAAAGCTTCTTTCAATTTCAGAAGAGCTTCCCTCTCTTCTTTCAAGCACCCCTCAGCTTCTCCACTAAACGCTAATAATATGAATATGATTATGGCCATCACCCACCACACCTCTTCTCTCACTGAATACCCCATTTTCCTCAATGCATGTCTTAAACTGCGGCCTACGTTCATCTATATATGGAGGCCCTTTCTTTGCCTGGAAGACTCAAATTGGGCACTGCGTTCCAAAAGTCAAATTGTCTTATCTGTGGAAAAATGGAAGACAGGCAAAATAGAAAGCTCCACTTCATATCTGACATAGACTTGCTCGTTTAGTCTGAAAAATTAGAATAAAGGATTAAGATTCCTTCCCCGAACTACACGATTACATTGGACTTGAGCTCTCTCAATTCATAATCTTGACAGTTGCTAATGACAATGTGCACCACACAAATTGTTACATTCTTATCTGCGTGTGCTCTTTGGCATTTCGATCTGCAACGTATCAAAGGGGATTTTAAGTAGTGCGCATGCCTTGCAATAATTTCAATTGTGAGGATTATTCAAAAATCAGTCTAAATGATCAGTTTTTCCCCCAAACAAAAATCACAATCAAAGTTCCAGAAACTATCAGTATTAGCTAAGGGTTTTTTTTTTTTTTTAAAGCACTGACATGGACTTAGAATCGTCTAGTCTGAAAAGTCAGGAAGACGTTAAAATTCCCTCCCCAAAATGCACGGTAGGGCTTAAGCTCTCGTTTTCTGATGCTGACAACAAACTTTGTATATTCTTACCATGACTAATGAAAATCATTGCATGTGCCTTGACTTTCTGCACAATCTACCAAACAATGCACATCAAATTTAGGGAAAGTTGCGGCCATGACTGACCAATCTGTCCAATATTTCACGTCCTGGGTGGCTAAGTATCTGTACACATTCACACTAATTTCTAAACAGGCCTATCAGCAAGAATGATATTACCTCTAGTTCTTAATATAAGAACTAGTTGACTAATTTGAATAGATTAAAAAAATTAGTTAAGTTAGTTATATGTAATAAATAGGTATTGTCTTTTTTAAAATATTCTTACTAATCAAATATATTAGCTAGAACTACCATTATTACAATAATTATTTTAGAAAAAAAAATGAATAAATATGAAATACAAAGTGAATTAGAGTCTTATATTTAGGACCAAAATAAAAGTTACACGAGCTCTTATATTAAGGATTGGAGGTAATATTTATCATAAACAAGTTGTGAGAGGACCTTAACGTAGTTTCCTTGTTGAATGAGTCATATGATTATGAGAAACGATGAAGTTGCTGATGAGTAGAGAGGATGTGAATGACATAAATCTCATTCGTGTCATTTCTTCAATTAAAGAAACTAGAATTTTGTTTCATAAGTGAGCTTGGTCAACGCTGTTAACAACTAATATATATACACACACGCGCCTATAATTTTCGTCCATGCGTGATTCTTTGATGTCTCTTTAAATTTTGAGATATATCTTCACACAAAGTCTAAATATGCAGTTTCATTTGCAATTAAGTATTGTTTTGGATTTGATTTTTGTAAGCTTTTGTCTCAAGTTTCTATGGATCAACCCGATCCAAGAAGTATTCTCTCAAGTGCTCCCCTTCATAACTGACACAGACTTAACTGGAGTCGTATAGTGAGAAAGATCAGAAAAAGATGAAGAGTCGTTGCCCCCGAAATACGTGATTGGGCTTAACGTAACCTCTCGACGACTTATGATTGATCCTGACAGTTGCTAACAATGTTCCCCACACAAATATATAAGCTTTATATTCTTATCACAAACTATTCAAAATCTCAGTGCTCGTGCTTTTGACATTTCTGCACAATCAAACAAGCCATGCCCCGTCAAATGGAATTTGGAAAGCCAGACCGTATATGGTACACTAAGATTGCTGTGCAGAAAGTAAACTATACGTCTAAACTCTAAAGTTTATTTCTACATATTTATCTGTGTTTAGCACTAAAATTGACTCCTAGGCACTGAGGTAGGGTTAATTATTATACTATTTTTATTTTTCGGCTTGTTCATTTGTTTTAGACTCTTTGTTTATTCTTGATTTTATATTTTAACATGGACCGTTGTTTTTAAAGATTTACAGTTTTTTTTTTTTAAAGAGTCGTTGTTTGCTGCCTACGATTTCTTAGTGTATGAGTCTGAGAATTGGCACGTTTATGCACACAAAACACTTCTATATATTTTAATGAATATTTATGTTAATTGTCATGTTTTATATATAAAGTTTAATTAGGCTACCAAAAGTTAAGTTCCGTAATATTAATTACAACTTATATAAGTGTTTCAGCAAGAATCAAATCTTTTAATTTACTATTCCCGAGTCGCTGTAAATCTCAATCTTGATTATTTTATATAAATCCTGAAATGTAACGTTATGCTATATATATAATTAACTAAAATCAGGCTCTGCTTGCCTAAATAAATTTCGAGCTTAACCTTTTATTATTATACTTATTGATATTGATGCATATATAATAAAGAATCCCCTACTCAGCTTGTCTCTCTCAAAGAGTAGACATTTACAAGGGCAGATTATAAATGAAAATTGATCAGATTATAATTTAGGAGAAAATTAAAAAAAGTTATTTTTTTCTTTAATATCTTAATTAACTCCCATACAAGTAGTAAAATGAAAGGAAAAAAGGTATTCATTATTTCACATAAACTGATAACATTAATGAACTCTTAATAATCAACATCCACAGCAAAATTCCAGGACCCAGCAGCAGCATATCGCAGCAACACTGCATAGAAAAACAACGTAAATTAAATTATCAAACAAAACATACCAATTAATTGACCTCTACATATATATATATATTCTATAATCTAATAAGAAAAAGTATATGCATAGGAATAGACAGATGCTGTGAGAGACGAGAAAGTGATGAGAGAGAAACCCACCATCCTTTCCAGAAACCTTCACCCTTGCTATTGGTCTCAGCTGTGATGTGTGATGAATCTTGGACACCTTGCATGGTGGTGGGATATCCGGGTGGTGGTGTTTGGTGGTGCTGATAAGCCTGACCCGGTGGAGGATAAGCCATCACTGGTGTCGATGGAGGTAAGCCCCTGCTTGTGCACAGTCATATCATCCAATCTGACATATATCAAATAAACAATAATACAGCAAGAAACTGATTAATTAAGTTGAATAATTCTACAAAAACCTGAACCTTGGTTGTGTTGACTCATAGAATCTGCCGCAGGTTATTCGCCAGACTGAGAAAGAAGGAGAAAAGAGAAGGGTGGTTATATATGTAGTCTCAATGGAGATGAGAAGAATGAACAAAAGGAGAATAAACCAAGGGGTGATTGCTTATAATTTATTTGTAGATAATTTCTATGAAAGGGTTCCACACGGATATATTGGGCGAAGAATTTGAGGTTGTAAGAAAATTTGCAGAAAGCCGAGAAAGAAACAAAAGGAAAAGATCAGATATTTAAGCCTGACATAATCAACCGCGTTCATACTAGCTCAGAAACTATCAGTTATAGGTGGCGTTAGGTAAAGCAATGAGCTAGTTTCATCATAAAGTTTTAAAAAATATAGCTCTAATATTTATTAATGATGATGTTATGTGGGATCTGTTTGCTCAGGATAGTTGATATGTTTGCGTTTGATTTGTTTAATTAAACATTAATTAATCACAACCTGTTTAGACAAGAGCATGGTATATATGTTAAGGGAATTAACCTAATCCTGATTCTGTGTGGTCTCGCAGGTTAACGCTTTCCATGATTCTAGTTCTGCAAATCACAGAAATTTCAAATCCTATGTTCTTAGACAGAGGAAACACCTAACCAGAGATATAATCAATTGTAGCTAGTTGAATATCGATGAAAAAAGCTAATCATACTTTCTTTTCTTTTTTTGGTGCAGACGAGGGCTCAGCCCAAAAGAAAAACTAATGTGGTGTGTGTGTGTGTGCGTGTGTAACGTGTGTTTTTTGCTCAAAAAATGTATGGCGTGTTGGTGTGGTGCGGGCCGGTGATGGCATTGTTTTGGGACAAATGGGCTAAAATAAAACCCAACTACAAATTGGGCTTGGGCCCATAGGAATAGAAAATAGATAGTTGCGGCCCAAGCCCATCAAATGCTGTCGACAAATGCTTTTATCCTGTTATCCGATCCTCTTGCAATTGCTAACTTCCAACAGTAAACTGAAAATCTTATATTAAATTTAGTAAATGGAGAGATTTTTTAGCCCAAAATAAAATTAATTATGTATCTTCGTGAATTTTATATTAATATTACATCTGATCTGATTTTTTCTTTTTTTGCCAGCAATGGATCTGATCTGATGAGTCCGCTGAAAAATGCGTCAATATATATATATTTCACCTAATAATTAATTATGTGAATTTTTTTTAACAAGAATGATATTTAAAGAAAATAATATAAAATTTGGGAAAATAAATTAATTATTTTTTTAAAAAAAGACGACTTACATCAATAAATAATAGATAAACAGTGAATTAATAATACTCATCCATTCTATTTCTATTTATATATATGATATATTAATGTGGGAAATGACATTTCCAAGTGTGGGGGCGGAATAAACATGTTAATGCACCTGGGACTGGAAACATGTAAAATTTGTTGGAGATTTTAAAATTAATGGACGATAAAGATATATGGGTGCATATTATTCTTGCTGTGTTATGGCTACGTTTTATTTTTGACCCCAGGCATGTGACGTGGGCTTAATTTTTTTATTTAAAAAAAAAAAAGAACAGCCCCATAACAAACATAGCGACTAAACATATGATTAGTTCAAGAAACTTCAAAAGATCATCACAGTATCGTACTTAGTTTTATTTTACGTCACACATACATGTGCCCCGATTTTGAAACGTCCTAATACATATACAGCGACTAAACATGATTACTTCCAGAAACTTAAAAGAAAAAAAAATTAAAATCGTCATTCCAGTCTTCGCTCTTCAATGATACTTCCAGACATGGCAAGAATAGAAGAGCTGGGGAATGCATTTTTCACTTGAGATATTTTATTTACAATTAATTCACACATTAATAAAGAAATTAAACATACTAAATTTGTCATAAAATTTAAGTAAATTATAATATTATTTTTATTAATCACACTAAATTCTAGTATTATATTAATTATATTCTTCGTCCTACTACAATTTTTGCCGGAGACCAGCCTTACTAAATTTAAAGGAATTATTATTAGATCTTAAAGAAGATATTTAATCATCCAGAAGTTTATTGACAACCAAAAAGAACATACAATGATAGTAAGTTTTAATACTGGAAATAATAACAGGTTTATGTTATTCATTAGGACTTGTTAGTAATTTTCCCAATCTATAAATTTAAACATATATTGCAAAAATATTAGAATGGAACGAGTCGTTTCTAAAAGATACCCAGCTATAAGTTGGAGAGGGAGTATTTATTGCCAAACTTTCCATATTGACCGTATTTGATTACTCACAATTCCCAAAAACCTGCACTTTCCCTTTCACCATAATTGAGACGTGCAACTCTCTGTGATGCTGAAATTTCACAGACAAAGCTCATCAAAATCCTGAAGCTCATCCAACCTACTTCTATAAATATGAATATCAGTAAAATTAAAGATATTAAAAAAATAAACAAATATTATTACTATTATGAGAAAAATGGAATCATGCAGCTGCGTGCTAGCTTTATTCGCTAGGGGTCCACCAAATGAATGCAATATATCATGCAGTCACTTGTCCAAACCTAACGGTCAAATTTATTTATTTTGCCTCTGGTTGGGAATAATAGTTATAAGTGATGTATATATAATAATAAAGCTAGGGTTTTCGAGTATCCTAAGCACACGAAGTAAGGTATGTTTCCAATACAAGAAAAAATGATCTCTCTCTCTCTCTCACTCTCATAAGTAAAAAGAAAGGAACTGTTCATCAGCAGCGACAAGGAAGATGATAATGAAGAAGAAGAAAGAACCTCATTCTTCATTATTTATCAACGTCTCTTTCTCTCTCTCTTTTCTCTCCATCTCACTGACAGAGAGAGAGAGAGATAGAGGGAGAAAGAAAAAGAAGGGTTGAAATATTCAAAGGGTTGGTTGTATGTATGTGCTTGTATTGTGGAGGTGGTGATGAAACGAAAGAGATTCTGATGAAAAGAGAAACAAAGACAGATAAAGATATATACTTGGAATAATATTATATATATAAGATCATAGAGACTTTATATATATATATATATATATATATGTAGAATAAGGAATAATGAAGAATGACAATAATAGTAAGAACTTTAGCTTTAAGTTGAAATGGAGAAAAAGAGAGAGGAAAAAAGAAACTGTTTCCACAAGTCAAGATGCAAAAGGTTTGCCCTTAAAAGTGGGACAAAGCACAAATACACATGATCCCCCCGTAATATCCTTATCCCACTAGCAATTTATACTTTTCATTTACAATTACAAATTAAGCAATGTTGTGAGATTCTAATTAGACACCCTACTTTGATTTATTTACCGACAAATCACATCTTAAACAATACCAAACACTTTCAAAAGTTTATAAAAGTTTAATTGTAGCTGAAAACTCGTTAAAAATCATCCTAATATCATGTATACTAATTAAAATTATCATCAAATTGGAATTAATTCTTTCAATTAATGATTAGTGACCATTTTAATCTTAAAACATTAAATAAAAATTTCATGGGATAAAGCTGCAGGAGGAACCAAATGTGCAAACATCAATTTCATAAATTTAAAATTGATATTGATATGATCATAGATATTTCTTTGTGTCAAAATTATTGTTTAAATTAAAGTAGCTAGAATATCAATCATGGAGGTAGAATGAAAAGGAACGGTGAAGAAAGTTGGAGGAAGAAGAGAGTGTGGGATCAATCTAGCAACTTCTTATCTACTCATCTTTCCATTTGACTATTCCTTTTAATTATTCTCTCTTTTTTAATGAAACTTCATGATTTAAATTAACTTTAAGCCTCTCTCAGTTCTCAAATATATACTTGGCTGAATAATTTGGTTTTGAATGTTCTCTCATATATTTAATTAATTGATGTACAGGGCCGCCATGCCCGAATAATTATATAGTTTTCCTTTCCAAATCGTGAACTTGAATACATACTTGTCCCCTCCTCCTCATTATTCTTATATTTGTGGCAATAATTATATGTAATACTACCATGATTATAAGATTCACACACATATATATGTGTGTATATATATATCAGTCCAAAAAAGTGTTTGTACAAAATAATAATAAATTCATAGTCAAGTCCCATTCATTTGCATCACTCATAATTATATTTTTTTAATACAAATCACTCATAATTATATAAACCAAAGTAATACTCCCAACCATTAATGCCAAATTAAATTTGGAGTAGAATTGGTTAATTACTATTAATTATTAAAAATATCATTGTCACAAATGGCTGCCTTGATTGATTTTGTGACTCTACCTTAATTAATTCACTCTGCGTGGTGCCTCCCTTCATGTGCATGCACCTAGACAACTACTTTAGTTTACAGTCTACTTATTTTTAATCCATGTTAAAATATCACCATCCTTGTTATACCAGCTGATGCAATAGTAATGTTTCAGTTGTATATATATATATATATTAATATTATACCATTAATTAAGCTTCCTTAAATGGTCCATTTCGTGTTATTAATCTATCTGTATGTAAAAGCACAGGTAGAGAATCATGATTTAGGTGGAATTGCCGTCCTAATTTTTTGTAGCTTGCGTTTTTTTATTGTTTAGTTAACTTTTGTACGCTGTCTTCAGTCTTCACTGGCATCATAATTTGCCCAAAAAAAAAATCTTTATATTATATGCAAAATCAGAGATCAGCTTCATCATGCAGATAAAAGTGAAAAATTTGAGCATGACCCATTATGTGAAATGATTATTCCTTTGAAAAAAATAGAAAACTGGATACAAAATGTTTGTGATAGATCAAATCCAATTACATATGTATATGAATTATTTGAGCCATAATTAGGCATAATTAAGTAACTCAAGTGTTTGTCATTTTGCCTCCTTAAAGCAAGCTACAATGTCTATAATAAAATTGAATATGTAAGAACAAATATAAAGTGCTAATGAAGTAACCAGCCAAGAGGGGGGGGAAATAAAGTTGATGCATGCAAGCAACATCTCACTGTGTCTGTTCTTTTTCTTTTTGTTTAAAAAATTATTTTTTAAGAAAAAGGGGTGACATTGGAATGTGCAGTAAATTGAGATATAATTGCAGTGTTAGCTCGCTGATGCCTTTGTCCTTATGCCTCCCATATGATATATATATATCAATGATAATCATAATAAAAGCATATGAAATCAAATAACTTTTCATGAAAGCTACATCTCCTGATTTCCGTCTGGGTGTGATCATAATGTCCATCTATTTTAAGTACCGAATTAATCCCTTTTCTTCATTTGTCTCCAACAACATTTGTGTCTCTAATTAAATGATTTAAATCCCACCCTACAATATTCAGAAGCTGCTTGTGGGGTATTTAAAGTCATTGATTTCCCTTTATTAATTGCTTTTTTTTTTAATCTCTGAGGATGATTCAGCGGATCTTAGGCACACCAATATGTTTCTTAAATGTTTTAAAATTATTTAATGGTAATTACTATTATTTGCCCATCTTCTGTTTCACTTTCACCTGTACGTAATTACCCTTTAGTAATTGAGTTTGTTTGTTTAAATATGGTTGGCCACATAAGGTTGAGATTTTGAACTATTTCTTATCAAACAATACAAATGAATGAGAACAAATTCACTTGACCTTCAAATGTGTAAGTCTACATGATATGACATTTTTTTCAAAATATAAACGTTTCTTTTAGTTAGTTAGGTCTTTAGTTTTTTTGTTTTTTTGACAAATAAGTCGTCCATGCTTTGAATTGAGTTATCTCAGATTTTGTGGACATATTCCATGCACCTTCGCTGTGCACTGAAATTATGAATTAAGGAATTTAAGAGGTTTAATTTACGATCAAAACACATACTTTTAATATGTTTTATTTGATGTTGATGAGGTATGGTTGACAGGTGTCACGTGATTTTTCTAAGTAAAAATGGATTTAAAAAAAGTGAATTAATAAAATTGTGACCGTGTGATATTTTGAATGATTCAGGTAGAACACCTGAATTTGCCGCCGATTCAGATGAGAGTTGTTGAAGAATGGAAATTTCATGATCATAAACCTGCTTGAAAAGAAACAAAAAATAATAATTTATTTCAAGAATAGCTAATTTATAAATTAATCTTGGAGTAAAAGGGAGTCACGTAAAATATCTAGTTACGATCTGACGGCTGAGATCTTCTTAAGGCCGTTCCGTAGGGTAAGGTGTCTGGACCAGCAAACAGCTTGTCCAATTAGGAGAAAAGTAGGATGACACGTGGCATGAAACAGTTGGAGGCAAAAGGCCACAAGCAGCGTTTCTTTCTTCCTAATTTTTTTGGTTTGGGTTTGTTTGGTTAGTTGGTTTTTTGGGTTAAGGGCACAAGCAACGTTTCCTCACGCCAGGAGCATGACTTAACCTGTTCCTCAAAAGCAAGAAAGAGTTGCGAATCAAAAGGACAACGGGCATGCTGGGCCGGGCCCACACTCAATAACATTGACATCCACCCCCAGCCACGCGGGTCCCACTGAGGCTCCCCTCCAATCCACGCTGGCAGTTCGCACGTGCCCGCCAGCACTAAAACTGTGCGTGCGTCCTACCACAGTTGTTCCCCACAGCCCTATCACACACGTGTTTGCCCCCCCGCGGGCCCCACCGCCATCACATTGCTCTTGGACCAGAAGCGCAAAATAGAAGAAAGAAAAGTAATCGCATGAGAGAAAAAATAGGCGTCGTCTTGGACTCTAGCTAACTAGCCGTGCTTTTGCTTACACATGCTGCGACTTCCTTGGCAGATTTTTTTTTTTTAAACTATTTATCGGGACGTTAGAGGTTAAAAGAGCAAAAACGAAAGAGGTAATGTACGGTTACGACATGGGCCTTGTAATGACGGAATCACCCCCGAGGGTTGGCGGGAATTACGGCATGATCAAATCTGTGCTGCGGCAGCCTGTGGGTTCCGGAAATAAAAGTGAGGTAGGAATCTCTCTGGCTCAGTATATTTAATTATTTAATTTCAGTTTTTTTAATATATATTTTTTGTGAGAAAATATATTTAAGCCAGTGTTTTAGTTTACCGAGACAACCCTAATTCCTAAATAAACCCCACCATATAGCCAGTTTCGGCACCTCAGTGGCATGCCTTTTGGTTCATTCCTCTCGTCTCTCCCTCTCTCAATTTCTCTCTCCCTATATCTCTCCCCCTCTCTCAACCAAGACTCTAAATAAGAACCACACTCCAAAAAAACGCATAGAAGAAAAATTGGAGACAGCCCAAGACAAAGAAGCGAAACCGCAAGAATAGTGCCTGCAGAGAGAAATCTCCATCTCCATCTCCATCTCCATCATCCTCCTTTCATGGCCGTTGAAGCTCGCCATCTCCATGTCTTCCCTTCCCAACTCATTGCCAGTCGGTACGTAACGCTTTTCCTCTCATCCTTTTTATCTTCTTGTATCTTCTGCCTCCGTTTTCTCCCCTCTAATGTTGGGGTTGATTTGCATGAAATTTTCAGGGAGATGTTGAATCCTATTGAAGCAAATGTCAATCCCATCAGTGCCCAGATGGGTTACTCCTCTGTTCTGCCATTATCCGGCACCACCACTGCCACGGAGACGCCTCTCGCGGCGGCTGCAGCTTACAATTCTTTGATCGTCGATTCCGTTCCTCAGAAAAACACAATGAAATCTGAAAGCGGCCTCACCACCTATAACGTCCCCGTTCCAAGAAAGCGATCAAGGGATTCGATCAATTACCCTCTTCTTTCCTACCCAGTCTCTACTCAGACTCATAAGAATTGTGGCTTTTTCTCGTTTCTTGGCGAAGACATTTCTCTCCAGATTCATCAACAGCAACTTGATATCGACCGCCTCATTTCCCAGCACGTGAGTATATCTAACCGTTATAAAATGGAACTATATTACTCATGGATTTCTTTTATTTTTTTCAATGTGTGATTCTGATCCGTTTCCGTTACAGATGGAGAAAGTGAGGATGGAATTGGAGGAGAAACGGAAGAGGCAGGCGAGGAGGATAATAGAAGCAATCGAGATTGGGATGATGAAGAGGCTGAAAGCGAAGGAGGAAGAGATAGAGAAGATGGGCAAACTAAACTGGGCTCTGGAAGAGCGAGTCAAGTCCCTGTGCGTCGAAAACCAAATATGGCGCGATTTAGCACAGACCAACGAAGCCACCGCCAATGCCCTCCGCACAAACCTCGAGCAAGTATTAGCCCAAGTCAGGGACGACCGTACCCGCGCCGCCGCCGATGATGACAACGAGGACGCAACCGTCGCCCCCGCTGGACCAGCACCACACCTGCACGACGCTGAATCATGCTGCGGCAGCACGGGCGGCGGAGACGAAGAAGAAGACGACGCAAATAACATCCAAACAAGACAAGGGACGATGACGATGGAAGGTTGTTGGCGCTCGGTAGCAGGGTGCGGGGCGGTGAAGGATAAGGACGAAGAAGGTACAAGTAATGGTGGTGGTGGCAGTAACAAGAACAGTGCAAGATTGTGCAGGAACTGTGGGAAAGAGGAATCGTGCGTTCTGATCTTGCCGTGCAGGCACCTCTGCCTCTGTACTGTTTGTGGGTCTACCGTCCACACTTGTCCCGTCTGTAAATCCTTCAAAAATGCAAGTGTCCATGTCAACATGTCCTGAAATTTACTACACACACCCAAAAACAAAATGTTCACCTACAAATCAAACAGTGAATGAGAAACTCCAAATTGCAAAGAAACAAAAGAAAAAAGTCCCAGAATTTCCTTCTTTCTTTCATGTCTAATCTCTGAGTAAATTTCTTATGTCTCGTGTATTTTTGTTAAAGTCTGGATTAATTTGCGGGAGGGATAGGGATATGTTTTGCTTTTCTGGCGATAATTATGGATAAGGTGGTGGGATTTGGTACGGGCGCATGGGGGTAGCAAAAACTGCGTGGGTGTTGGGGGAGGTGGGGCCCAGGAGGGGTGGGGGCATCTGCTGTAAAACCCGACAGCTAGTTGTAGTACTCTCTTCCCCTAAAACAAGGTACGAAAAGGAGATAAGAGGGGAGGAGAGCGTGAAGGGTACGCGTGGAGTCAACGAGTACAGGCGGAAAGCGACAGGTGTGAGAGAAAAGCTGACACGTAGGACGCGCGCAAATGTCGCTGTTGCTGAAGAGTGCCTGCAACGGCCATTTCCCCAATCCCTGTCTTCTCTCTCCTCATTTATGCGTCGTCGTCGACTTCAGAGCTTAGCCTTTAGACCAAAAGCCAAAACACAAACCGACACGATCCCCGGAGGTTACTCCTCTTACTTATAGCCTCCCCCGCCAAAAATAAAAAACAAATTAATCATTTTTTAAAAATTAAAATATTAAGTTTCTTGGAAGATCCAGACAAAACCGCAGAAAATTTGTCAGGTACACTGGTACGGTTACATGATGAGCGTATACTGATTACTGAGGAGTGCCGAAAACGACGGCGTTTTTAATTATTAAAAAATAAAAAAATAAAAGAATAAGAGGGAGTGAGAGAAACGAGGCGCATATATATATATATAGAGCAGTACGGGGTGTCGTGAATGTATGTTACAAAAAAGATGCAGGTGGCAGTTGAGATATCACGGCACGCGGTTAAAATTGGAAACCCAGACTCGTTCCTGATGATTCTTTTTTTAGTGGTAAAAAAAAAGAAAACAACCTGTGCTTTTTACTTACTTACATTTATTTTATTACTGCTGCTCTGAAATGATGGGTGGTTTCTGACAGAATAATAATATACACTGGTTTTGTGTTTCAGAAAATATACATGAAACGAGATTGTGTTTGCTGTTGCATGCATGTGAGGTGCACGTGAGTGGTCTGTTTCTTTATTATTAAGTCTCCCGTCAATGACCGTTCAACGGATAATAGGCTGTGATAAAAATATGAATGCACTTAAATCTAGTAAATATTAATTTAATTAATTAATCAATTAGTGAAACTAATACGTAACTAATAATAGGCGCGAGGTGACTTTCATGCTTATGGAAGATCCACGGGCTGTGATTCTGGACGACCAACCTCTGGTTTTGTTTGGAATGCAAGTTAAAGAAACACAGGGAAAGCTCCGTACGTTCTTGGTAAAAATTTGTTAATTTATTTAATCATTTAGTAAAATTTTGGTTTATCTGTCATTGAGGAAAAAGGTGAGTTAGTATTTAAATATGGAGCTGTTTTGTTTTATTTTGGCTGTAATTAATTTGGAGGTTGCTTGAGGGATAAATCTAGCATTATAGTAACGCCCATATATTGATTTGATCGGACTAGTTAATTAAGGTAAATTTTGATGATGAGATTAATTTGAATCTGTGGTGTGATATAAATTGAATTAATTAGTAATAAAAGATCATATTTTGATGATGGAAGGGCACTGATTAGTGTTCATGCGGGGCACATAACTATCCAAATAATAACGACATTAAATCTCATCAACTGCATGATCTTTCTTTTTCTTTTTCTTTTTGTATCTCTTTTTCTCTTTCTCGTGATAAGCGATGTAATGGATTAAAGAGCTTTATAATGTTTCTTTAAAGCGTGCGATTGACTTCTAATCAATGTCCCTTCTCTTTTAAACAACTTTCATTTGTTTTGTGAACTCCCAAAACAATCGTGGAAAACTGGTAGTTATGCACAAAGAAAACACCGTCAACAAATTTACTCTTTTAACCCTATTTATAAATTATTTTGAACATGTTTTATACAAATTAATAAAAAAATTAAATTTTATTTATGTAAAATTTAATAAATTTTTAATTTTATTTTTATTTAATATATATTATACCTCATAAGAATAAAGTTAACATGATAATAAATGAAGATAACATTATATTTCTCTTTCTATTTTATAAATAGGACCATATGAGTTTTTTTTATTTAAAAATTTAGAAAAATATTCATAAAATGATGTTCCCTATTTTTGTAAGGTTTGTGCCGACAATAAATTTGATTTACGTTTATGTGCATCAAATTTTACATTTAGAGAAAACGCTCTCAATTAATAGGAAAAATTTTATACGATATCTTTTAAGCATAATTTTATTTTTCAAGAAAAAACCGATAAAATAAAAGAAACTTTTTTTTGGGAAAAAAATACAGATAATATTCTAGAAATGTAAGTGTGAATTGAACAATAATGAAACCAGAAGGGAAAGCTATCCAAAATTCAAAAGGAGCCGTAAAAATCACATGCAATGAAATCAAAGATTCATTTAAGTTAAGGCAATCACATTCACAACTAACGTATACGTCATGGCATACTCATATAATATAAATTCTCGGAAAATAGTATGAACGGCGTTACCCACTTACTTTAACACAAAAAGAAAAAAGAAAAAAAAAAGGGGGATCGAGAAAATGATTTTGTTTGATCTCTGAATAAATACAATGCTTTTTAAATTTAGGGATGCTATATTCAAAGCGTGACAGTACATATTCTGTGAGGATTATATCGACATGCCTCATATTATTAATGAAATAATTCCAATTCATATGGCATCATATTCTATTCTAAATATGTTGATATGAAATAAAAATCTTTCAAAGTACTATTTTCGGTCCTAAATATAAGAGCTAGTTGACTAATTTGAGGAGATTAAGGAAGTAAGTTGAGTTAGTTATTTGTCCTAAATAGGTGTTGTCTTTCCTAAAATATCATTACTAATCAAATGTATTAACTAGAATTATTATTGTTAGAAGGGCTACTTTGAAAAAAAATGTATAAATATGAGAGACAAAGTGGATTGGAATCTTATATTTAGGATAAAAGTAAAAGTCAAACAGAGTCTTATATTAAAGATCGGAAGTAGTATTTTTTTGTTTATAATTAAAAAATGGGGAGTAAATAAGTTGGGAGGTGAAGTTTGGCTCGAAGTATAGGAGGGGAAGTTTCCCAAATAAATTGATACTTTGAGATATTGCAGAGAATTAAGGACAGTAATAATTTGAGATATCGACTTGCAAATGATCGAGTGCCAATTAGAGATAATAGTATAATGAAATTTTGTTGAGAAATCACGAGAATTTATTTCAAAACAACTTTCATTGTCATTATCTTTTCTGCGAGTCATTTTTTTAAAAATATGGATGAAAATAAGGGAGAGGTGTAAGTGTGTAACTACTCCTATCATACTTATAAATTATTTTGTGATATTTTTTTTTATAACACATTACATTGGTTATTTATTACGAATTTTTCCTTTTATTTTTATGCATTAACGTGGATGTAAGAAAGTGAGAAACTTTTTTCTATCAAAAAGAGAGGGAGAAATTTTTTTAAGGATATACTACTTATGTTAATTCAAAATAAAAGACATTTTTGCTGGTTGGTTTAAAATAAAAGAGATTTTATAAGAAAGTTAATAATATTGAAAATTTCTTATTCCATGAATATCCTTATTAATTGTATTGTATGTAGAGAATAAATGGAAAGGAAATTAAAGTGAATTGTTTTAAATTAGAAGCAGTTGAGGTGGTTAAAATATAAAACTTTTAGAGTGAATTAATGAGTTTTTTTTTTACATTGTTTATATACAATGAAGAATGCAAATGGGGTGACGGGGGAGAAGGGGGACCCGACTCGGAGGGTAGAGGGGGACAAAATACGGAGCGAAAGTGAGCATTTAATGAGAGACGGAATGGGATCTTTTGGACCTCATGTGGGCCCCATCATCCCCCGGGGTCACCTCCATTTGTCCCTTTATCACCAGCACGCATCCTCACACGTGAATCTGATTCCCCCGTTCTACCCCGCTCTTCTGCTTTATTTCCCTCCCTCTTACCCCCAGGGCCCCAATCCTCATAAATACTCCCATAATTAATTACTCCTCCGATCCTTAATATAGAACCCAATTTTTGAGTTGGTTTTGGTCCTAAATATAAGACCTCTTTCTCATATTTATCAATTTTCTCTAAATTACCCCTATGGATACTCCCTTAATCATGATCAAGTAAAAAAGAGAGATGGGGTATTAAGAAAGATGATTATGGTATTTTAGGAAAAACATGTCACATTTCTTATAATTAACTAACTTACCTAACTTTCTTAATCTAATTAAATTAGTTAAATGGGTCTTATATTAAGGACCGGAAGAGTATTAAAAATAATAGGTACTTCATAAAACTGTTCCATCTTCTTGGTTTCTAATGTACCTTGGAGTCAAGAGCTCAAATCTACTGCCTCCGTTTCAAAACATATGCACATCCAATAATTAATATGGGCAATCCATAAAGTTAATCAAAATTGGTTAAAATTAATAAATATGTAAAAAAAATGTAGCTTTTTTCTTAAAACAATTTTATTTGTGGAGAATATGAATGGGAGAGATAATAAGAGACGAAAAAAAAGAATGAGTAAAAAAATAGATGAGAGAGAGACATATAATTAATCAATAATATAAATAAAAAAATGTATTAGATGATCAGATAAATTCAAATTCATGCTTATAAAAAAATCAAGCTCCTTTTAAGATTTGATACTTGTATTTTGAATGAGAGGGATTATTTTTCCCCAGGTAAAACTGTAAAGAGGTAGTGATATATTTACGAAAATTATATTTTAAAGCATAATAAATATCATAAAATTATAAAACAACTATAAAATTATACACGACTTTTACTTGTTTATTACTACATTTATAATGACATGATATATATATTTTTTATTTGCCAACATATGCAACTTTTTACAATGGTAATCCTGTGAGCTAAATATATACTATAATTTCAGTAGCAAAAAAAAAAACATATACACTATAATTTT